TGTGTGTGTGTGTGTGTGTGTGTGTGTGTGTGTGTGTGTGTGTGTCGCGCTCATTCTGGGGCTTAAATTCAGGGCCTGGGTGCTATCTCTTAGTATTTTTGCTTAAAGCTGGCACTTCATAACTTGAACCACATCTCCACTTCTGGCTTTTTTGCTGGCTAATTGGAGGTAAGAGTCTCATGGACTTTCCTGCCTCAAATGCCTTTGAGCCTCAATCCTCAGATCTCAGGCTCCTGAGTGACTGGGATTACAGGGGTGAGCCACCAGTGCCTGGCTCTGAATTGTTTTGACAGGGGCCGCTGCCAGCAGATTCCTTCTAGTATCAGATCTGAGATTGTAGTTGTTGCCAAGAAGCTATTTTCAAAGAGACCAAATCCATTCCTACTCACACAGTCCTGTCTCAACACCGGGCTTCGCCACTGAAGGGAAATACAGGATTACATGTGAAAGGAGAGCCAGCCTCCCTGGTGGGGAAGGGGGACCCAAGCTCCCAACATGTTGGGACTCATGGAAAGAGAAGGGCTACTTTTGGACTGGAGGAGAAAAAAAAGGATATCTCTTAGGCCTCTTCTGGGTACATGTATTTCATCTTCTATCTACCTAGCAATCTTTAAGAGTAGGTATAGCCCCATTTTTCAGATGGAAATACTGAGGTTGAAAGAGATGATGCTTATCCAAGACCAACACATCCTGGGACTCTAAAACTGTCTCCTTCTAGAGTAGCTACCCAGTCTGTATAGTACAGGGTTGGGGAGGAAAGCCAGGGGGTAGATGGGGTCCTCCCTGGAGAAGTTGCCCCTCTGACAGTTCTGTGTCCCTGGACAGATAAGGCTAGAAAGTGGCAGGGAAGGGGCTCTGGTGGAGAGATTTTTGTTCGTTTTGCTGGAACAGCAGGAGCCATTCAGCACCACTGCTGAATGGCACATTCCAACAGGTTCATTAATGAAAAACAAAAAACAACAACACAATTCTCCACTGCCTTTAGCTTTTACCATTCCAGCCAGTATGGACAACGAGGCCCCTTCTTCCAGCCTTTGTTATAGTCAACTCCTGGGTGGCCTGGGGAGGCAGTGTGAGGTGGTGGAAAGGCCCTGGGGAGGGCAGAGTGGGTTGAGATCCTTTCTCTGCTGCTTGTTGGCTCATGTGCTTAGGCACATTAGTGGATGTCATTAAGCTTTAGCTTACCCCCTCAATAAAATGGCATGAATATTTTGTACCGCTGTGGAGCTCTTCTCCACACTCTTAAAATGCAAGTATGATATGAGTATATTGTATGTACATGATGTACGTGTATCTATCCATCTACCCATCCACTCACCCATCCATCCACCTATCCATCCATTCATCCATCCATCCATCCATCCATCCATCCAATCAGCTATCCATATGCATCTCTCTCAGTACATACCTTTCTCTCTCCTCTGTTTCTTCCTCTCTCCTTCCTTCCCTCCTTTGCCTTCTTTGCGTTCCACACCCACATTCACCCTACCTCTACTGAAAATCAGAGAAGTAATTCTAGTCCCATCTCTCCATCTTTTCCTCTAAATCTGATTTCCATACATAGATAACCATAGAGAAAATGCATAGTGCCTTTTCCCCTTAGAAATTTGAGCAGTAGAATACTACAAATAATGTTACGAGGTACACATACTACACATAGCAGGATGCCATTTTTTCATTCAACAACTTGCAGCAGAGGTGTTTCTCAATTAACATGTGTACGTCTACTTTATTTTTTAATGTACAGAATTTCATAGTTATTCAAAACTCATAAAAGAGTATAGCTAATAATACTAAATAATACTACTAAATAATACTACTATATATACTACTATATATACTAAATAATACTAAATAATTACTACGCATTAGCTCATTTAATTCTCTCCATCTAGGAGGCAGGTGTGTTATTGTCATCTCTGCTTTACAGCTGGGGAGACTAAGGCTCAGAAAAATTAAGTCACTTGTTCAAAGTTATCCAGGGAGTAAGAAACAGAGTCTGCATTTTTAACTGATATAGCCTGGCTCTAAGATATATCCACCTGTTATACTTTATATTTTGCTTATCCTGTCATAGAGGTTCAATGTCCTATTATATAAGGATATATTTTGTAAGTATACTGTAACATGTTTAGCCTCCCTCTACAGAGGGACAGCTAAGTTTCTAACACATTATAGTCTTTACACATGCACAGAAACAAACAGCCATTGTGCCATCCTGTTGTTACTGTATATAGCTATTTCCCCTATGGAAAGATGCCATTGGAATTATTGGACATAAGGTATGTGCACTTCAGATTTTAGTAGTTCCTGTCAGTTTGCTCTCCAGATGGGCTGTGTTGACAGTTCCTTTCAGATATGCGTGCACACACACACACACACACACACACACACACACACACACACACACACACACACACACACACACACACACACACACGGAGGGATGGAGGACTATTACAGCCTGGTGCTTGACTTACTTCCAGCCTTCTCTCAAATAGGCAAACAATGTAGAATTTTTATTGACTTTTCTGAAGATTTTTCTTCTTCTTGCTTATGCCTTTGTCTCTTTGAAAGGGAGCAAAATAAGAGGCCATTTAGCCCAAGCTAATGGGATTCAGACAGAGGGGCTTAATTGCCAGTTTCAAAATTGAAAAAGCCTAGGTCTTTTGACTTGTTGAAGTTTTGGGCTGATTCAAAGGTTGGAGATGGTTTTTAGGCTACACTTTCATAATGAACAGAAAGTGTTGTGTTGGACCAAGTTGTTTGACCTTGGGGTTTAGCATGAACCTCAGGTTTAAAAATATCTACATAAACACCCATGCACAGGGTTTTGCTTTCTGACTCAAAAGATGTCCCCTAGCCCAGCTCAAGGATTCAGCCCTTTATCCCTTGCCATTCACTGCTTAGATGGAAATGATGGAACGGTGTGAGGATGGAGGTGGACTAAGGCTGAGGCAGGGTTGGGATCCAACCCAGAAAGACTCTGGGGCCTTGTCGTTTATGGAAACTGGCTTAAGAGAGAATTCCACTGTCCTGATTAAAATTCTTCAGCAGACCCTCAGGGGTAAAGTGGCATTTATAAGAGCCAGAATGGACCCCACCTACCTTTTCCTTCCTGATTTCATCACTGGCCATAGTTTCCCGCTGGCTCTTGGCCTGTGTCCTGCCCTTGCTTTGTACACTCTCCTTAGTTTCTCATTCTTCACATCTCACTTGGTCCCATTTTCCTGCCCACTGCTTGGCCTTGGTACAGAAGAACAATCACACCTCATCCTAATGTTAAACCTGCTGCACCAAGACATCATCTCTAGTCAAAGCCAGAGTCTCTCAAGCTGCATGGGGAATTCCCAGAAGGCATCTTTCCTGGACTGGGAGCCGTATATGTGAACCAGAGGGATAGAATTCAAGCCTCTGATGGGGGAGACACCTGTTTCACTGTCTCCATGGCTTTGGTAAGTCTGGTTCTATCTTTTCAGTGGATGCAATCATGTACTTGCCTCTCAGGGAAAGAAGAAAGGATTTCTTCATTACCACTCTAGTCAGCCACCACCTAATACAATCGCCAAGGTTCTCTTATGATGCGCCAGGCCCTGAACTAAAGTCTTCCCTTGCCTAGTAGTCATCCAAAAACCTGCTCTAGGGCGGAAGAGGTCCACCTATCTGCCTGAGATGACACCATTAAGAAACAGTCTAGCCGGAATCTGAATGTGCTCAGTTTGTCACCAAACTTGTATTCTCAACCAATCCCACATATAAATCTGGGAGGGTTCTACGTTTTTAGCAACTTCTGCCCAGTATTCTTCTCTGGGAGAGAGCTAACCTCTCCAGCACCTGCCTCCCATGTTGCTTCCATTTTGTGATTGGTCATCAGTTCTGGGAGCCTAAGGAAGCCAAGTCCTACATATCATATCTGACTCCTTGTCCAGTGCTCTTGTTCCTGGTTGAGCCACTCCCAACCTCTTCAACACCAAGCAGCATTTCTAGAAAAATGAACTTGTCCATCTAGTGGATTCTACCACAATTTCATGTGTCGAGTGTCGATTATTAGTTTACTAACAAATAAGCTGGCATAGTGGTTTATGCCTGTAACCCTAGCAACTTGGAAGCCAGAGATTGTGAAGGGTGGGTTTGAAGGCCAGCCTTTACCAAATCATAGCAAGTCTCCATCAACCATTAAAAGGTGTGATGGCACATACCTGGTATCTTAGCTATGTGGGAAACTAGAAGGATTGTGGATTAGGCCAGGCCAGACAAGGGCATGAGACTCTACCTGAAAAACAAAAAACAAACAAACAAACAAAAAACTAAAGCAGGAAGTACTGGATATGTCTCAAGTGGTAGAACACTGGCAAATGTGAGACCCTAGCTTCGGTCCCTAGTAAATGAAAAACAAAAGAATCTAGGTGCCAGTGGCTCATGCCTGTAATCCTACTCAGGAGGCTGAGATGTGAGGATCGGGGTTCAAAGCCAACCCGGGCAGGAAAATCATGAGATACTTATCTCCAGTAAACTACTCAGATAAAATCAGAAGTAGTGCTGTGTGGCTCAAGTGGTAGAGCTCTAGCCTTGAGTACAGAGAGGTTCAGGGACAGAGCCCAGGCTCCTGAGTTCAAGCCCCAGGACTGGCAAAAACAAAAACAAAAACCTCCACAAGCGTATAACAGAAAGTCACTACAATACTAGGGGGCTATTACTTGGACATAATTAGCTAATAAGATAATTGACTGGAGCACCAAGCTGGTGCCTGGGTGACTGGTGATGCGATTTGGGTTGGTGTACTGACATGCTGGGAAGAGCTCATAGGCCCTTTAGTAAGCATCTGGAGAGCACGTCTTCATTTCAGGCAGGTCTTCAGACTACTATGTCTCTCCTCTGGGCAGCTAGCTCCCTTGCCACTGCTGGTTACCATGGTGATGCCATCAGAGCTGGCAGAGGTTGTGGGAAACCCATGTGTATCCTGTTGGGATGGCTCCCCTTTCCCAGCTGTGACCTGGGTTCGGGGCCATGTTTTCCTGTGTTCATCTCTGTGGGCCTCAGCAGAGAGAGACTTGGTTCTCGCCAAAAGGATTCACTAAATAGCATCTGACAGGAGGCCCAAGGCATCTATAGCCAGCTGTAGAGGTCCTAAGAGGTCTTTTTTGCTGGGTTTAAAAAATTAGTGTCTGCAGCTGCAGAGAGGGGCCAGAAGAAGCCATCTGTGGGGCAGAGATGGCTGTTGGTCACAGAAAGGGACAGTCCACAGGCTGATTCATGCTCACATAAACCTTATTACCTTGGTTGGGTGACATTCATGGCTCAGACACAAGAGACTTTTGAGTGTTGCCAGCCAGGCTTGCACTCCTGGCCTGTGTAGAGGCAAGGGAAAGAAAACTATGTGCTTTGGCCTCAGAGAGCTCAAGGTGAAGTTCAGCTGTTGAAGAACATCCCTGAATGATGGAGGGAGCTGGGGCTAGGGAGACGGAGGTATGGGGGCATAATAAACTTCTGGGACCAGAGATGTTCACTATTACCAAGCAGTTGTTGTTGTTTTTTTTAACCTCTTCCAAGCCTACTCTGCCCAAGATTGCCTAGCTGCCTACAAAGAAAGGCCTTGCACTCAGAACTTGTAGGGGTTCTTTAATCCCTGGATTACAGTGTGAGAAATACAAGGCCTGCCAGTGGAGGTGGATCTGACTCCTTGAACACATGGTTCATGACCAGAGGTGCATGGCTTATGGGTGTATGTGTTTCATCTGTTAGGAAGGGCTGCCTGTTTTTGGTCTTGGGGCTTGAACTCAGGGCCTGGGTGCTATTCCTGAGCCTGTTTGTGTTCAAGGCCAGCATTCTACCACTCGAGCCACAGCGCCACTTCTGGCTTTTTTTGAGTAGTTTATTGGAAATAAAAGTCTCACAGACTTTCCTGCCCAGGCTGGCTTTGAACCTGATCCTCATATCTCAGCCTCCTGAGTAGCTAGGATTACAGGTATGAGCCACTGGCATTCAGCTATGGCTGCCTTTTGACTTGGACTTTATCTTTGTGGATAGCCTCACAGCCTCTTAGATTTGGAAACTTGGTGGCAGCTCCACCAAGCTCTGGTCCAGCAGGTTCTTTGGCCTTGGCTATCTCATTTGTGAAAGGAGAATAGATTGGGAAAAGTTAGTACAGAATCTGCCGCACTAGCATTAGTCATCATTAGTGTTGTTAGATGGCAGGAATGGTATTCTCACTTTGTTTTTGGTGAGGAAATAGGACTGTTAGGACCCAAAGGGATAATTGTAGAGTTGATACCTCTCCCATTTTCCCCTAATCCAGGGATTCCCACTTTGTCATACTACTTCCTCCAGGACACAGGAACAAACTAACATAGTTCCTTTCCTGTTCTGAGTTTTACAACCCTTCACACTGTAATCTTAAGTCCCAATGTGATCATCTGACTTGACAATTACCTCATCCAAATAAGAAGCAGAGTGGCGTCTCTCTCTCTCTCTCTCTCTCTCTCTCTGTGTGTGTGTGTGTGTGTGTAGGGGGTTGTTCTCATATAATGATGTCCACATTCAGTTTTGGTGTGGCATAGTGGCTTTAGCTGATGCATGGATTAGAACCCAGGACTTCTGAGCTCAAATCTTCCACTCTTCAAGGATCTGGTGCCGTCCTTTTGTCTTAGGTGGCACATTTACCTGTGATAGGCACAAGAGGCAGGGGGTCAAATGGAGGGAGCTCCAGAAATGGATTTGGCAATACCAAACTTGGATGGCCAGCTGGTACTTCCTGCTCTTGTCCCATCTCAGGCCCAAGAGATGCAATGCCATACACTGAGTAGGGGAGCGTGGCTCCCTGGAGGAGACTGGAACTCTATTTCAAGTTCTAGTGATGACTCTTGAGTTCACCTTGTGAGGGCCTCCTCCCAGGGTTTTAGCCTGTACTCTGTTAAATTGAAGGATTGACTCATTCTTGTCATATATGTTGTACTGGTGGCCTGCTGGATATCAAGTGTTCCTGGCTTGTAATCTCCCTTGGAAATGCATCTCTAGTCTAGCAGAATAACTTGCACTCACATCTGCTAATGATTCCCTTGAAGGAGGTAACTTCATTAGAAATGCTGTCGATTAAGACCAGAGTCAGGACTGCTGTGGCCGTGGACGCTGATGAAAGGAAAACGCTAATGAGCTGAGATGCTTCATCAGATGACCTGTGTGGCCACCATACTTCCAGTTGGAGCAGAGCTGGCTTATCAAGCAAATAGCAGCCTTGCAGACCTAATCAATGGTTGGAGTTCACAGTCAAGGTCACTTTAACGACTGCCATTAATTGTAGGAGTCCTGGTAACACTATTATAGAAGCTGATGGAATTCTGATTCATCATAGTGAACCTGCCTGTGCCATAGCCCTAACCGAGCACTTCCTTATTCCACGGATTTGGTTAATAGCTAGGTTCAAACACATCCTGTAGCTGAGCTGACTCCTCTGGTGGAAGAAGATGATGTTGGACTGAGGGCCTTCAGTTAAGATACCACCCATGGTCTGAGGGGACCCTTGCTCACCTGCCTGGGGAGAGGGTTTGGAAGACCTGAGTCAAACACATGGCTCTCTGTCCAGTTACAATCTCCTCTCCTTCCCCAGCACAGGACAGAAATCCCCAGAAATTTCTGAGGATAAACAACCCACCTAGGACAGAGATCTGGTATTCTCTGGGGTACAGTTCTAACCAAAGGAGTAGAGCAAAGGAAGCCACCTCTGCAGTGAGCAGGGTATGGGCTCTGTGGTACTCTGACTGATTCTCTTTTGGCCTGTGTTTCCTCAGCTGGCATCTAAGCCAGGCCAGAAATCTATTTGCCTATGAGGACCAGCCACAGAAACTGAGTATTGCCATAGCAAATATATTGGAGTAATATTCATATATACACATATGTATATATATATCTACCTACATATATATACATGATATATGAATATATATATATGATATATGGTATTATTTACATACAAGATGATATATATACAAGGAGGGAGTACTGGTGCTTGTGGTGAGGTGGAGAGTCAATGTCCCTTGTGAAGGGGACAGTTGCTATGTAGCTGTGGTCTGTCAGGATATGGGACCGTGTTGTTACACTGGGTTCTTTGGATAATCTAGAAATCCAAAATTTTAGTGTGAATCTTGGAGTGATGTAGTTGTCAGTGCAATGAAAAAGGAACACACACACACACACACATACACACACACATCTCAAATCAAATATATCCCTAGGCTAGACTCAGCCAGTTAGGTTGCTAATTTTCTGACATTGAGTCCAGATATCTTAATTTTCCCTTTGGATTCTTGGATCTCTGACCATGAGCAAGGCATTTGTTGTTGTTGTAGTTAAAGCATAACAATGACCTCAGGAACTTTGCACCTTCTGCAATTTCCGAGGTAGTTGAATACACAGATGTTGGACTGTCTGGCTCCAACTTTGGCCTCCTTAATTGCTAGCTGCATGGTTTGGGGCAAGCAGCCCCTTCTTCTCTGCCTCATTCTTCCTGCATGTGTGCAGCAGAGCTTCTCAACCTCACTGGGCTGTAGGAGAATTCCTTGTGATACTGGAAATAAAAGGCTTGGCACATTGCCTGACATGTAGTAAGGGCTTGATAAATGCCAGCCATCATAGTATTATGACTCATTCTTGTCTCTCCCCACATGGAGCTGAGTCTTACTCGTTGCATGCAATGGGTAAGGATATCTGAGAAAGGAAGACAGCTTTCCAGGCAACAGTGGACTCAGCTCTTGGGGGGGGGGGGAGTGCATATGTGTGTGCGTACACTCAAGAAAGAGACAGAGAGTGAATGCTAGGCTAGCATATTAAACAGTAGTGATTACCTTGGGAAATACGAGAGCCATCAGCCATCCTACACTAACAGAGGACAGGGAAGGTAAGAGATGGCTGGGGGAGCAGAGATTTATAATTCAGGTGTTGATCTGGGTGTCATTACCAACAAGGTACCCCCACTGCTTGATGAATTTTATTTCTTTGGACCCCTTTAAGCCTGAGGACATTCCTGGAGTGTCCTAAAATCTAATGCCCTACCTATTAATATCTTGTTAACATCTGGATTTTATTTTGTTTAGAACACTAACCCCAAATAGTTCAGATTCCATCTGCCACCTTTTGAGAAGAGGTTCCTACAGTAGCTCATAAGCAGAGAGAAAGGGAAAGGGAAAGAAAACCTAGACCAGCTCTGGCCAGGGGAAATACCACAAGCCTTACGTGCAGTTTAACATTTTCTCATAGTTACTTTATAAAAGGTAAAGAAAAAAAAAAGCATGAGATGAATTTTTATATGTAACCTAATATATCTGAAATACAGGAATTTCTTATGTAATCAATTTAAAAATCATTTGTGAGATTTAACCTTTTTTTAAAATAAAGTTTTGGAAATGCAGTATGTATTTTATGCTCAACCTATCTGGGTTGTGATATTTGCTAACTGGCATCTGGGCCAGGGCCGCCATATTGAGCAGAAGCACAAGCTAAGATGGTGTTTGGGAAGACATGGCCTCTGTCTTCCCTCTTCCTGTTCTGTGGTCTGCACACAAACAAGGGAGAAGCTGGAGATATATTTGGGCCAATCAGATTTGGAGGCTGTTGGTTGACTTAGCTTTGCTGTTTCCAGGACAGGGAGGCTGGGCACTATGGCCTGGGAGAAGCCAAGATAAACTTAAGAGCTGGAATCCAAGTAATAGCATTTGATAATATTTAACATATAGAGCCATTTCACTGTCTGTATGCATGCTTATATGAATTGCTATTTATGCTGTATCTAATTACTGCCCTTCGTGGTGTGTATGTGTGTGTGTGTGTGTGTGTATGTGTGTGTGTGTGTGTGTGTATGCACGTGTGTTGCTATCAGAGCTTAAACTCAGGGCTTTTATATCTTGGTCAGCTTTGATTCTTATGGCTGGTACTTTACCACTTGAAGCCTCCAGTATGGCACTTATTATTCCTAATCTGAAGATGAAGAGAATGATATCTAGAGGAATTTAACATTAAAATACTATTTATAAATCTATCTCTCTTTCTATCTCTATCTATCTAAATCTCTATCTATCTAAATCTCTATCTATCTATCTATCTATCTATCTATCTATCTATCTATCTATCTATCTATCTATCTATCTATGTCTGTTTGGTGCCAGTCCAGGAACTTGAACTCAGGGCCTGGGCACTGTCTCTTACCTTTTCTTGCTCAAGACTGGTATTCTACCATTTGAGCCACACCTCTACTTCTAGCTTTTTGCTCATGAGTTGGAAATAGGAGTCTCACAAACTTTCCTGCCTGGGCTGACTTCAAACTGTGATCTTCATACCTCAGCTTCTTGAGCAGCTAGGATTACAGGGATGAGTCCCCGATGCCCTGCTAGTACTAATATTTATCAACCAACTGTTCTAAGAACTTTCTATGCATACATCCATATACACAGGTTCTGTGATTTCCTATATACCTATGTGCTAGGAATTACTATTGTAGTCATGATCCTCTCACTTCACAACGACAACACAGAGGCTGAGAGAAAGTAGGCTACCTGTGTAATCTGTAGCCAGTATGTGGTGGAATCAGGACTGGAAACCAGGCTGTCCCATGATGCTCTTGCTTGAATGCTGGTGGGGCTGGCATTTGAGCTGGGAGGTCTTCTTGTCCCACTACGCTTCCGGGTCACACTGTTCTCAATTCACAGCCCTTTCCCTTTCTGCCTCTCTGCACCCCTTCCTGAGAAGAAGAGAGTAACAGAACAGGGAAGGTCTGGGCTCCTCCGGGACTGCTTAAAGAGTCCCAGCAAAGAAGAGACAATCTCTTCAGGCTTGGCTGATTCCCAGGCTGCACTAGCCCAGGAAGGCCAAATTCTTGGCCAAGCTAACGAAGTGGGGCGGGAAGGACACTTGTCCCCTCTGCCTTCCTAGCTGGGCGAGGCTGGAAAGTGGTATGCATTTAACTGCAGGAGGTGGTGGTGGCATGGATTAACACTCTCTAAATAGATGCCAGCAACCTAAGAATAGCTTTGCTGCCTGGAAATTGATGGGTATGCCTGACCACAGCCTGTCACACTTAGTAGGTGCTTAATAAATGTGATGAACCTCAGAAACAAATACAGAAAATGGGTCAGTGGGGGAGCCCTTGCCCACTGACACTGTTCTCCATGTTCAGAGCACTTTAGACTGGGGTGATTCAATGTTTATGGATGCTAGAGACCTTGTCATGACACCAACCATTTTCTTGTATTTTGTTTTCAGGAGTCAAATTTGCAGTCAGGATGCTAGGGGAAAAGATGAGTTCCCTGGGATAGTTTTCCCTTATCTCTGACATGTTCCAGGTACCCTGACGGTCAGGTTCAGATCAGGAGGATTCTTTGTTGCCCAGTCATAAAGATTTGACTATTCCTTTGAGTTCTCCAGAGCCTCCTCACATTCCATCATGCCCTGGGAGTCCTCTAACCCCAAGTTCTGGGAACATCTCTCCCCTGCACCCCCCACCCCATCCCACCAATGGCCTTCTGAGCCTTCATTGAGAAGAGTGGAGGTATCTTTCCCTGGCAGAAATCCAGCAGGCCCCAGGAGAGACCATCAGGTGAGCTGCAAGGACAGGAGCTGCAAGGGTGCCTTACACGATGAGCAGTTCTAAAGTTCAGTGTTTCCCAGTACCAGCTATAGTCCCTTGGAGGAGACACACCTGTCTGTTTGCTTAGTAAAGACTCTGAAAAGTCCTGCTGAGCAGTAACTTGTTTATTATCTCTGTTCAGCCCACTGTCCCCTAAACATATCTAGCCAAGGGACTGATGTTTTCTGAGGATACTGTCCCACAGGAGGATCCCAAAGATCCTTCCTAGCTTTATAGCTAAACATCCACCAGCTTTAAGGGATCCTTCCTGTGCCCAGGACTTGCTTTATCACCAGTCTGTCTTGGACCAATTTGGGGTCTACATCAGATTTCTAAAACTTTTTAAAATCTGCTGGGTACCAGTGGCTCACACCTGTAATCCTAGCTACTCAGGAGGCTGAGATCTGAGGATCACGGTTCAAAGCCAGCCCATGCAAGAAAGTCTGTGAGACTCTTATCTCCAATAAACCACCAGAAAACCAGAAGTGGCTTTGTGGCTCAAGTGGTAGAGCACTTGCTTTGAGCTGAAGAGCTGAGGGACAGAGCCTAGGCCCAGAGTTCAAGCCCCATGACCGACCCCCCCAAAAAAAAAAGAAAAAAGAATAAGTAAGATCAGAAGGAGTCCTCTAACTCAGATCTTAACACTCAAGATAGTGTGGAGTATCTTGTTTTTAATCCTCATGTGTTAGCTTTCTGTCACTTGTGATAAAATACTTGAACTGGTCTACTTAATAAGGGAAAAGATTTAAGGGAAAATGTCTCTTAGGCCTGTTGCTTTGGGCCTGGGGCAGCCCAGTGTGCCAAGGGAGAGTGTGTGGTGGCAGAGGCCTGTCACCTCATGGTGTCTGGGAAACCATAAAGACAGGGAAATCAGACGCCAGTGTCCCACAGCTCCCTTTGGGGACATGCCCGCAAGTAAGTACCTAAGAAGCCTTTCCTCCAGGTTTCACCTCTTAAAGGTTCTACTACCTTCAAGACAGCCAAACTGAGGACCAAGCCTTTGGTGTGAGGGGAATAATTGGTGTTGTAAGTCCAGCAGCCAGATGTTCAGAGGGACAGACATATGGAGGTAGACCCTGGTCCCTCCATTATCTGCACCTCAGCCCTCACCTCTCTGATCTCACGCCACAACCAGCATCACTCCATGCCGAGGAATGTATGTGGAAATCTGATTGAAGTTACACATGCAAGCTTCCAAGAAGCACTCGGGCACTGATAGCTCATGCTTGTAATCCTAGCTACTCAAAGAGGCTGAGATTTGGGGATCACAGTTCAAAGCCAACCTGGGCAGAAAAGTCTATGTGATTCGTATATCCAATTAACCAGCAGAAAGTCAAAAGTTAGTGAGTGACTCAAGTGGCAGAGCACCAGCCTTGGGCAAAAATGCCAAGTGAGAGCATGACATCCAGAGTTCCGGCCCCTCCCCCACCCCAGTACCAGTACAAACATTACGCAAAGAAAGAACACCAAAGAAACAAAAGAAACAGGTATTCTAGATTTCAGGGCGCTCAGACACTGTCCCAAAGGCCACTGATAATCATTAGAACAAACTGCCTTAGAGAATCACTAAGTTGGTGGTTGTGTTAAAACTAAAGAACAAATAAAACCACCAATCTGACCTAGCTAGAACCAAACTTATCTAGGTGGGTGTGCTGCCTTGTCCATTCAGGGTTTGGGGTGGCCAGTGGGGATTGCTCTTCTGTGCATAGAGTGAGATCTAGCATGGCCAGTCACTCCACCCTGCGGGGGGTACCCAGGGTACTCTCAGTGAGCCAGGTACGGGGGGCAGCATGGTGGCATGGGGAAAGGAACAGCACCCCAAAGTACAGGGCAGCAGCCTGGCTCTGTTATTCTGGGTGTGTCATCTCCTCAGAGGCCTCTTTATTTTATTTTTTTTAAAGTTTGGCCAGCCCAGGGGCTTGAACTCAGGGCCTTGGCACTGTCCCTGAGCCTCTTTTGTGTTCAAGGCTAGCACTCAACCACTCTGGTTTTTTCTTAGAGTCTCACAGACTGTCCTGCTTGGGTTGGCTTTGGACCACAATCCTCAAATCTCAGCCTCCCGAGTAGTTAGAATTACAGGCGTGAGCCACTGGTGCCCGGCTCTCAAAGGCCTCCTGATGCTTTCCTGAGAAAATTTGGGCTCCCTAAGTGCTGATCATTCAGGATATTTGAACGGATGAGGGAAGGAGCAGAACAGGGAAGGGCTGGTGGCAGTGAAAGATGGGGGTGTTTGTTCCTGCTCACCCCAGATTGGGGCCTCCCACCTGCTCTCCTCTCCCCTCCCCCCCAAGGGCCCCACACCAAGCTCCTGTACCATTCGCTTCATAGTGAAAGGTGACATCACTGAGCCAGAACCAGGAG